AGCCCCGAGTGACTATTTTCTGTTCCCTAATCTCAAAAAATGGCTTGGCGGTAAGAGATTTGCGGACAATGAAGAAGTAATCGAAGCTGTAAATGGTTATTTTGAGGAGCTTGACGAATCAGTCTATAGAGATGGCATTAATAGACTGGATGTCCCCACGTCCTGCTCTTGCAGTTTTAATGGCGATTATGTTGAGAAATAAAAAAAAAAAATTTTTAAAAACCTTGTTTTTCTTGGTCAGGCCGGAAACTTATCAATCCACCCTCGTAAATTACCAAAACCTGATCACCGAGTGAATCCAATATTTAATATTTTAGTGCATTTTTAGTCAGTTAATAAAATGTGAAAACTAAACCGTATTTTATGAGAAAATGACTGATGATAGGTAGTAAATTATCTATTTTAAAATTGTGTCGTTAATATTGACATGTTATGATTACGATAAGGTTAGAAACAAATAAAAATTGAAATAAAAAATATCTACCTTACGTACCGAAACCGTGGTAACTGTACAGGAGTTCGCTCGTGGCCGGAACATCACCAGGCTCCATTTCCGTTTTATTTGAGCCATAACCTGCAAATGTAAACAGATGATCTCGTCTTACGATTACTGTAATAGGTATTTCTATTTTTTAGAAGTTATTATTTGGAGACAACGAAAATTTTACCTCGTCTAATTCTACACAATTATTTGAGAGAGTTTCGAGAATTTGCCGAAACTCCAACCTGAGTTTATTTACATTTACTTTCTCCTCGTTATCATTGTTACGTTCAGAGGAAACTTTTAATTGCCAAGTACCTACCTAATTAAAAATTCATGACAAATACGAAGCTGTTGTTCTAATTAATTAAATGAAACATGTATAACGCGAATCATTCAAATTCCTTTCTCATGGAGTGAAACCTTAGTAAAATAAAATTCAAATGTTGTGAAGCATCCTTCCCTGATTAATTATTTAATTTAATTTAATATTAATTAAAGTGTTTTAATTAAATATGACAACAAGATATTTTGAAATTTCTTATTAGGATAATCTAACCTAACCTAACCATGGTTACAGTTGTCAGTACAACGTTTTGATAGTATTAGCAGCGTTAGGTAAATATTTTCCTTTCCTAGAATGAAGTTAAATTAACAACGATATGAGTAGTAATGAGAGTCGATATGGGGGTATCGTTTATTTGTATCAGTATAAAAATCAACACCAACGTTTAGCCTCCCCTTGTGAAACTTTCCCAAGACTAAAATGTTTCAAATATAATTTAACACTTACTAGGTTTTTTAGTTTGTATCAACTAGATCGGTACAGCGTATGTATAAAATAAAGGTAGAACGTGAAATTATAATCATACGGATGTAAATAAAATGGATGTTAAAAACACAAATAATGTAAGAAAAAGTGACAAAACAAAAACTTTTTTGTAGCTTTGTAAGAGTTTGGCGTTGGTTTTATATAGGTGTAAATAAACATTATCTCCCTTACGGGCTCTGGAATTTTGTTTACTTGTTTCGTATTTGAAATAGCTGGTTTGCCCTTCGGCAGTTGTAATGAAATTAAAGGCACGTAGCAAATTTGAACAAAATTCACACTTTGATATAGTGGGGGTTGATTTATTGGAATTTAGATATGTGACCCTTGTCAACGTGAAATTTTCGAGAAATGGAAAAGATTTGACTACGTTTTTCCTAAATCGAATCCAATAAGACCGTATTGCTTTTATGTTTATAACAAGAATTTCCTCTTAATCGTTTCTTCACACCTCTTAAATATATTCTACTTCATAATAATTCCAGTAGATAAATATACTGTCTAGTGTAGTGGAACATCAATAATAATATAATTATAAATTTTCGTCAAATTAAGAAACACTGACAACATCTAACAAAAGAAATTCATCTGACACCGTTGATGTTTGCTGGTAAACGTCATTGCAATAATTCAATTTATTTTTCTATTGCAAATTCCGAGTGTAACAGAAATGAGTGCCTAGCATTGAATGATGTAAACTAGATGCAATAAAACAATCGTACGGTAAGTTCAGGTGGTTAAGGGCCAAAAAGATTTTCGAGAAAATCACAATAACTTACAATCCGAAGCCGGCCCTGTGCGTGAATTGGCGGCATAGGTATGTACCGACTAGCGTAATGCGATAAAAATTCTGCTGCTACCTGGATGGAGAATTGCAATTTTGGCAAAACTTATCAAAAAAGCGATTTGCAGTGAGCAACTTAAAATAATTCAATTCTATACGGGCGCGTCCCTCTTGACCAAATCGAACCGTTCTCTCCGTCAAATGTCACTAACGGTATAAACTTAATAACGAAGTTTCACAACTTGGTTATTACATTCAGGAAGGATGTGGAAACTTGACCAAAAATTGTCGTACAAATTCATCCTTATTAGTTGATCATGATTATAAATAGAAAACGGGCATCAATCGCATATAATATCTTTATCAGGGACGTACTAAGCTGTTATTTGCTATTTGTGGAAATTAATGTGAAAACGCTTATGCGGAAAATTTCACGTGTGCGAATTGTAACAAATCTCGCGAGAACGCGTTTCATTCGTTTTCATGTACAGGGCCGCATTCGTTATTACATAGAGCAGCATGTGACCCTTGTTAATCGTGGTTATCGACCTAGTGCGCTTCCAGATTGTAGGTAATCCAATAAATGTTAGGGAAGGGTAAATAAAAATTGTTGTTTAATTAAGAAAAAAAAAACACAATTTAAAATAAAATTTCGATTTCTTTGTATATGTAATGTGGTAGTAATATGATAGAAGAAAAGTCAATTTGAAATTACTTTTTAGTGTTGATGGCAACAATCAAGGTAATTCATTAATATTGTTCATTTAATCTGTGAGTTTGCTACTATTCGTGATTGAACAAAACTCTTGGCAAGTACTGTATGAAAAAGTATGTTTAATGAACAAGAGTCGAGAGTATAATGAGCTTTTTTCTCCCTACCTTCGATTTTGCCATTGCGCATCCAAAACATTGGAAGGGGCACTTCGCTAGAGAAAGTAAATGAAGTATAATAACGACTGTGACGAACATATAGACGGACGAAAGAGCCATGGATAAGTGATACTTTTGTAATGCATGATGACAAGAAGTACTTTTTTTAAAAACAGTTATAATTACCTTTTCCACTACCTATTTTTATTTTTATATAAAACGGAATCTATAAAAAGAATAATTTTGATACCACTAGGGCCATTTTTAAAAGTGCCTATCATCTAAAAGGAACATATTTTTCGGGTCCTTTGGGACTTTCGTATATTCACAAAGACCTTTTCGAAATGTAGTAGGGTTTGTAATGTGACATCGTCCCTTGATACATTCCGTAATAATCACAATAAGGAAATCCAAGGTGATCGTTAATGTTATCGTGCGTGAAAAACATGTCACCAAGAAATAACACGAAATATCAAGAACGCGATATTCACCTTAAATGAGAAATGCTGAGCAGGCAGAAACAGAATTGATATGAAAAAGCGTTGATCTTATTTTTAGTTCAAAATACTCTTACGGTTCTCTTAAAGAAAAAAAGAAACGGTTGTACGATTACAATAAGAATAAAGATATTTGATATTAAATTGTAGAATTAAAACACAATTCGATTTACATTTGCTTGGAGGAAAACGAATTGAGCATGATAGCAATTTTGAAGCTAATCATTGTGCTATTGATTTTTGTCTAACTTATTCAAAGGAGATGTTATATCTTCAGTGTTATTACATTCAGAGTTTTTAATAATGAAGTCTTTTCGGTCTTAATGCTCATTGGAATTTTCTAAATTGTAACAACTACAGTAGCATAAGAAGAACTTCCGCTATAGAGACTCGTGTCATGACAGTAAATTCATGGTTTACTGACTCCTTGTCTTTCATTCGTGCGTCCATGCCGTTTTGTACTCAAACGCTCCATATCTATTTAATTTTATAGTCATGCTGGAATAAAAAAGGTGGGGTTAAAAGAGGTAGTAGTATATTAAAATCTAGTGATATTTGCTACTTGGTTTTTGATGGATTACTTATCAAAAACTTGAACTATTATCCTTCATAATTACTTAAAATGTTCATAACTATCGTGGAACTATAGTTTAAAAATGGGTTTTCAATTTTTGCTAAACTTAATGTGGTATTATTGAAAGTTGTTTTTTTATTTTTTTGCGTTTTCATTTTAAATCCAATACATATTCGAATCTCATCACAAAAGAAGAACATCAGAGGTATAAGGAATACATAGTAAGTTTGTGAAAACACCACTTAACATTTGACCTAATCCGTTAGTAAAAGTGACGAAATAGTCTGTGTTTCGTTTTATAATCGCACATATAAGAGCTGCATAATACATGCATGACAGCAATTCCGACGTACAGATGTAGATACCTATCGTCGCTTTTACGCTTTATTCTCCCTTTTGTGTCGTCTGTTTGAGGTTTGACAAGTATCTGGGGGAAGCAGTCTTATTCACACCGAAATTTCTTTGACAACCTGGGAGTATCTTAGTTTTCAAAGATAGTTCAAATTCCGACAGCGCAATTCTTAAACGAACTGTAAAGTGTTGAGTAGACAAGTTGTGAATAAGTAAACATTTAACTTTGTAAGGTAAAGATAGGGATCGAAATTATATCGAGAAACGAAATTGGTAAAAATGTGATTTTTGCTGATCGTAGCTTAGAAGTATCGGCAATCAAAAGTGGAACAAATGTAATTAATTCTTTCCAAAACAAAACGCAAAAATGAATTGGAACATTAAGCTTGCATTACTTAATAGACAATTATAAAACACATAAATAGGATTAATGTTACGACTTACCTGAAAGACCAATGAAAACAGACAAAAAAAATTGAACAAAATAGTAAAATGTAATTACGGGGTGTTGACCAGAAAAATGTGCCATCGTACTTGGGTGGGTACCTGAAATTGACAATTACATCAAAGCTTTATCTTACCGTCTTTCGCCGTAAGTCCTGTATCTACTTACGTATCCGTGGCGTTTGGTTTTTGATTTGAATTGTTTTTATAAAATTTTATGTCTGATTAGTACTCCGAAAAATTAAGGAAGAAGAAACATGAAAAAGAAATAGAATGAGCCATCTCGTACCACTGAGTGATATACACAAACATGAAGGTAAAGACCTTACCGATTATTCGCGTGATGCTGTTAGTGCATTCCAGTCTCTATGTGACCACCATGTCCGCATATTCTGCATGTGAATACATTGATTTTTCCTTAATATTTTCACACAATTTATTTTTGTATTTTGTGGTATTAGCAGTGAATTTTGCCGGTCAAGCGCTAACGAGTGCAGATTATTACTAATAATTACGTGAAATTGACCTCTCTACGTGTCAGCTGTGGCGAAGGTCACGAATAGGTATGTGTGTTTCACCAGTTGACGCTTGCGATAACGTAAGGCGATAAGATAACGCGGCTACAAAACTACTGTTTTCAATCAAAGAACGGCTCGTTAAAGGGAGGTTCTTTATGTGCATACTTTTTACATCCCCTACGTTGTGGTACTATCACTCTACACTGCCTCCAGATGTTACCTTTCA